AAAAACAATAACAAAAACAAACTAAGCAAACAATTAGAGCAGGACCAGAATCATAGAAATGGAGATCATTTGGAGGGTTATCAACTGGGAGGGGGAAGGGACAATGGGAGAAAAGACACAGGGATTAAGAAACAATTGGTAGAGTCTAAATAGACAGAGGGATGTTAAGAATAGTATAGGAAATGGAGAAGCCAAAGAACTTATATGACGACACATGGACATGAACTAAGGGATGGATTGCTGGAGGGAAGGTGGGTTCCAGTGGAGGGGGCAAAGAGGGAAAGAGTTGGGATAACTCTAATAGCATGATCAATAAAACATACTTTAAAAAAAGGAAGAAGCAAATCAAATAAATGATCTAACTTCACACTTAAAGGAACTTGAAAAAGGAAAGCAAAGCCTAAAGTGAGTAGAAGGAAGGAAATAATAAAGATTAAAGCAGAAATAAATGAAATAGAGTCTAAAAAAACAATACAAAAGATCAACGAATCCAAGAGCTGGTTCTTTGTAAAGATAAACAAGATTGACAAACATTTAACCAGACTCAGCATGAAAAAAAAGAAAGAAAAGACCCAAATAAATAAAATCAGAAATGAAAGAGGAGATATAACAGTTGACACCAAATAAATATAAAGTATTATAAGAAAATATTATGAACAACTATATGCCAACAAACTGGACAACCTTGATAAAATGGATAAATACCTAGAAACATACAATCTTCCGAACTAAATCAGGAAGAATTAGAGAACCTGAATAGACAGATTACACCTAATGAAATTGAAGCAGTAATCAAAAAACTCCCAACAAACAAAAACCCTGGACTGGATGATTTCACAGAGGAGTTTTACCAAACATTCCAAGAAGTAAAACCTCTCCTTCTCAAACTACTTCATAAAAACCAAGAGGAAGGAAGGCTCCCAAACTCATAAGGCCAGCATTATCCTAACTCCAAAACCAGATAAAGACACTACAAAGAATGAAAATTATTAACCAATATCCCTGATGAACATAGATGCTAAAATCCTAGACAACATATTAGCAAACTGAATACACAATGCTTCGAAAAGATCATACGCCATATCAAATGGGATTTATTTCAGGAATGCAGGTTTGATATAACATTCTCAAATCAATAAATGTAATTCACCACATAAACAATACGAAGGATAAAAACCACATGATCATATCAATAGATGTAGAGAAAACTTTTGATAAAATCCAGTATCCATTTATGATCAAAACTCTTAGCAAAGTGGAAATAGAAGGAACATATCTAAACATAATGAAGGCCATATATGACAAATCCACTGCCAGCCTCATACCCAATGGGCAAAAACTACAAACATTCCCCTTAAGATCGGGAACAAGATGGAGATGTCCCTTTCATCTCTCTTACTCAACATAGTACTGGAGGTCCTAGCCACGACAATCAGGCAAAAAGAAAAAATAAAAGGCATCCAAATTGGAAAGGAAGAAGTAAAACTGTGTTTATTTGCAGATGGCATGATGCTGTACATAGAAAACCCCAAAGATTCCACCAAGAAACTAATAGATCTGTTAAATGAATTCAGCAAAGTAGCAGGATACAAAGTTAATGTCCAGAAATCAGTTGCATATTTATATGCCAATAATGAACTAACAGGGAAATTAAGAAAACAATCCCATTCACAATTGCTTTAAAAAAATAATAAAATACCTAGTGATAAACCTACCTAAGGATGTAAAAAACCTGTACTCAGAAAATTATAAGACACTGAAGAAAGAAATTGAAGAAGATGCAAATAAGTGGAAGTAAATACTGTATTCATGGATAGGAAGAACTAACGTCATTGAAAGGTCAGTACTACCCAAAGCAATCTGTAGATTCAGTGCAATTCCTTTCAAGATTCCAATGACATATTTCACAAAACTAGAAGAAATATTTCAAAAATTTATGTGGACCCACAAAAGACCCCACATAGCCACAGTGATCCTGAGAAAGAAGAACAAAGTTGGAGGAATCATGCTACCTAATATCAAACTATGCTACAAGACCATAGTAATCCAAACAGCCTGGTAGTGGCATAAAAACAGACACGTAGATCAATGGAACAGAATAGAGAGCCCAGAAATAAACCCACACCTTCGTAGTCAATATTTGACAGAGGAAGCAAGCATATACAATGGGCTAAAAACAGTTTATTCAATAAATGGTGTTGGGAAAATTGGACAGATACAGAAAAATGAAACTAGACCACCTTCTTACACCACACACAAGAATAAATTCAAAATATATCAAACACTTATATGTTAGACCTGAAATCATAGAAGTCATAGAAGAAAACATAAGCAGCAAAATCTTGGACATTGCTCACAGAAATTTATTAGCTATATCTCTCCAGGCAAGGGAAACAAAAGAAAAACTAAACAAATGGGACTTCATCAAACTAAAAAGCTTTTTGCAGAGCAAAGGAAATCATTATCAAAATAAAAAGACAACCCACAAAATGGGAGAACATATTCATTGACACATCTGATGAGGGGTTAATATCCAAAATTTATAAAGTACTTATAAAACTTAACACCAAAAAAAAAACACAAACAATTAAAATTGGGCAAAGGACCTGAATAGACACTTCTCCAGAGAGGACATACAGATGGCCAGTAGACATGAAAAGATGCTCAACATCACTAGTCATCAGAGAAATGAAAATTAAAACCACAATGAGATATCATCTCACACCTGTCAGAATGTCTATCAATAAATCAACAAACAACAAGTGCTGATGAAGATGTGGATAAAGGGGAACCCTTTGACACTGTTGATGGGAATGCAGACTGGTGCAGCCACTGTGGAAAGCAGTATGGAGATACCTCAAAAAATTAAAAATAAATCTGCCTTTGTTCCCCGTGACCCCACTTCTGGGAATATATCCAAAGAAACCCAAAGCACTAACTCAAAAGAACATAAGCACCCCTATGTTCATTGCAGTGTTATGTATAATCACCAAGATATAGAAGCAGCCCAAATGTCCATCAGTAGATGAGTGGATAAAACAACTGTGGGACATTAACACATTGGAATTATACTCAGCTGTAAAAAAGAAGAAAATTTTACCCTTTGCAACAGTATGATGGATCTGGAGAACATTATGCTAAGTGAAATAAGCCAGTCAGAGAAAGATAAGTACCATATGACATCACTCATATATGGTATCTAGTGAACAAGCTGAACTAAAACGGAAAATGGGGACACACTCATAGATGGAGAGCAGATGACAATGAGTGAGGGGGAGGTTAATGGGTAGAGAGATTGATCAAAAAGGTAAAAAGCTCAATGGACATGACAACAATGTGGTGATTGCTGAGGTGAGGTGGGTGTAAGGAGGCTAAATGGTAATAGGAAAAATGCAATAAAGATTAAATTTAAAAAGAAAAGTCAGTGGGAGTAGATGTGAAGAGTGAGAGGAAAAAAGTAATCAAGGATAATGCCTAGTATTGCCCTATGCTGGGAGAAGTAATTCAATTTCTCAGCAGAGCAGGATACTGTCATCAGTGCCTTCCTGGACATAGCCCTTCCCAGAATTTTCATTCTTTCTGAAGAATGTCTCTTCAGAAAGAACATTCTCCATTATCTGAGAACTACTCCATTCCTTTTGTGGAAATAAAGTGAGTCCAGTGGGACAGTAGTCAGTGACCTCATTTATCGAATAAACAGAGAATGGAAATTTTTACCTGATCAACACCCTGGAAGGAGGTATAAGCATTATGGCACACTAAAATCCAGTAGTCCCCTCATGGAAGGCCAGGTGTTCTTCTGTCTCCTTTATGCAGGTGTCTTTGGGTAGTTAGGGCTTCTCTGTGCCTCCTGGAATTATATTATAATTAATATAATATATTAATTATATATTGACAACTGCTTAAGACTATCTGCCTGATTTGGGCTTGCCAGCTCTGTCCTGTGGTCCTTTTGAATATTTCATTTGTATTTTTCACCGTTGAGTCTTTGGGTTTTGTTTCCACCAACTGAGATATGCTTGTCTTTCAAAGTTCAGGTTGTGCCTCTTTTGCAAGTCCTTTCCAGCCACTCCAACCCAAATGGGTCTACCCATTCATTGAACTCCTGCTATTGTAGACGTAAACTTAAATCTTCATAGTTACATTTATAAATCAAGGAGGTTAATGATAATCAATATTGGGAAATTAAAATTCACTCTTATTGAAAGACATTCTAAATGTAGAAATTGTTTGCTACCCTTTTCCCTGTCTTATAACAGTTCCCTGTGTTTTTGTGCATTATGCCACCAAGCCATTCCACCGGACTACACTACAGTGCCTGGGTCATAGTGATTGTGTATCTATATTTATTAAATAAATAAAATACGTTATGCATAAGCACTGACTCCTTGGATAGCTACATATGGTTGTGAAAGTTGTGATAGTTGTGCATTACACAAGTGTAGTGAATATCATTTGCAGAGACCAGGATGTATAAAAGTGACCAAGCAAGACCAGGCAGTATTTAAGAAGGTTCCTTCAGGCACAGGTTGGCAGACCATGACCCATGGGCCAACTCTGGCTCACTGCCTCTTTTCATAAGTATAGTTTGATTGGAACACAAGCACATCAGTTTGTTCATACAGGGTGTAGCAAAAATAAATTTACAGTTGTATGTGCAACATGAAGTTTATTCTTGTATTATTTATTAAGTATGCATTATTTTTCATACAAGCAATGTAAGCCTATTTCTGTTCCACCCTGTATATTGTCTATGACTGCATTCCTCCTCTTGTGGCCAAGTTGAGTCTAAGACGGTATGTCCCTCAAAGCCCAAATTATGGACTATCTGATCCTTTAACAAAGGGTTTGCTGAGCATTTAATGAGATGGGGTCATCCTCAAGTTAAAAAAAAAATCAAACTCATTTAGTTTTTAAATGTTTTCTACTAATTGAATAGGTGCAAAAAAGTTTTGTTCTGCTATTTTTTTCCATTTCAAAGTTATCTTACTTTTTTGCAGTAATGCCTGAAAATTCAAACTTTCCATATCGGCGGTATGATCGGCTCCCTCCAATCCATCAATTCTCCATAGAAAGTGATACGGACCTCTCCGAGACTGCGGAGTTAATTGAAGAATATGAAGTTTTTGATCCTGCTAGACCTCGACCAAAAATCATTCTTGTCATAGGTATGAGGACAGAAAGCAAAATGCTATTTCATACTATTTCCTACTATCTCATACTATTTCTAGCTTGATTTATATATTTACATTTCAAAAAATTATGTCAATTATGTATCACATTTGCAAATACTTAGTTGGATTAAAAAAATGACAAACGATACAAATAAAAGCTCAAGAAACAAATAGATGGAAATATTTTAGCATAATTTTCAATAAACCAGAAATTGTTATATAATCTAATGCTACTGTACTTTTATTGAATCCATTAAACATATTTCTATATAATTAATTGAAAGTAAGCACTAACCCCTTCAAAACTTTTTGTCTTCTGTTTTTTTTTTGTTTTATTTTTAATGTAAATAACTGGATTTATTAAAAGTTTTCTAAGCATGATGTGTTTTTTTCCTTTAATTCAACAAATTTAATATTATTCACTATTAACGTTAGAGGGAATAGTAACAGTAATAAATTGGTAAAGACTTATAAGTGAATCTTCCTTATGGTAAACTGGCAACTACAATAAAATGTAAGTTTTGATGTTATTAGAAAAGCATATCTAAATGAGTAGTGTTTTACACAGCATATAACATCTGAGAATTAATTTAAAAAGTAACAATAATAGTTAATTTTTAATTGCCACTATGAACCTTATGTTGAATATAGAAATATCAGTCTGATGCAATTTACAAGGAATACATATTGAAAATGTTCTCAGTATTTTTTCCAGTATGCACATCTTGGCCACTCTTGCAAATTCTGATTTCCTCAAACCCTATAAAAAATTATGAAGAGACTGTAAACATGAAATATATGTATTTATTGTCTCACTTTCCAGTTTGACTAAGCTTACACAGGGACCACCGAAAGGAAAAATTTAATGTGGAATGCTCAAAGCTGTTCTATCCAGAAACTATTAACAGAGGGCAAAATGTGTACAGCCTTCAGGCAAAGCACTGCTCCTAGAAAATATAATGATGATGGCAACTAGGAAAAAAGCGTGCAAATAAACACAGCAAGCTATAGGAAGAATTTAAGTTCACCAGACTAGGAGGAGTGACATTTGTATATCTCTAAGTGTAATGAAAATGAAATCCCAAACATATTTAACCCTGAATTGTTTAAAATAATGTAATAGAAAGGAAATACAGAAAATGACTCTCCAAAAGTCAAAATATTCTTATAGTGTATGGAGTCACTCATGTCATAAATTTCTCTCTGTTCTTAAGAATGGAATTTTTGTGTGTGTGCTTAAAATTTTGAGATGCTTAACTGTAAGACAAGGAAATGCTTTATTAGAAGAACTATAGAATAATTGGAAATTATTTTAAATTTATAATTAAATGACTATTAATGGAATGAACAAAGGCGGCTTGATTCACCATAAAAAAAAAGTGTAATACCTACCAAATTGCTGTTGTGTAAAACAGTCCATAGGCGAATGTTTTGTAACTGTGAATTTTAAATAAAAATCATTAAAATATTTCAATAAACGAAGATCTTTGGAGAGAATATAAATTCTCAAATCTTCTCCACTTGATTTCTTTTTTTACTCAGTAAAATCAATTTATATTCCAAGGGTGTGATTTTTGGTTTTAGACTTGCATGCTATATTATAACATTTTATGTATTATAAGAATCATACAAAACCAATGATTATAAGTAACGTTTAGAAAATTGAGATAAAAGAAGAAAGGAAAAGCCAAAAGTTAGGTTATCTAAAAAAAATGGGGCAATTTTATGAGTTTTGAGGAATTTTAAAATTATTGTGCCTTAACCTTACACATTTTTATTTTCCAACCTGGAAAACTGGTGGGGGAGGTATAGATACTTAAATGGTATTACACCCAAACAAACAAAAATTCCCTTCTGTTTAAAAGAGATAGAGAACTTCTTTTAAAGGTACTCTTGTTGGCACAGATACTAATCTCTCCTATGTTAATGTAATCATAAAACCTAAGAGTTAGATGGATCCTAATATTTATAAGTATTAGAGATAAGTAGAACAAAATTAAGCTCACTCTGAGTTCAGAGAGAAGAAAGAAAAATTAATTTACTAAGAATAAATTAGTAAGTAACCAAACTCATCCAATAAGTTAATGCTATTCTCTGTCAATTGTGGTATTCAAATTTTTTTTACTGTCTGCTATTGCCTCCATTAGTTGACAAAAAACAATCTTTTTCTGTGAAGGTGCTGTAACTTTCACAGTGTTTAATTTTTTTTAATTCAGTGGACTTTATAATATATTAATTTGATGGTTTGTGAGATTAAGTGTGAAAATACAACTTATGAAACATAACTTCCATTCGTCAGGGATCAAATCAGTTTGAATTTTTTGATGGAGTGTTCATATAATTTCATTTCTTCAAGCCAATCCATGGTTTACCCATAGTTTAACAGGCTAACAGCAGGTATTTAGAGCCAAAACTAACTCTCGATTTGCAAAGTAATGAGTTTAATCTGGTAATAGTCCGTGACATTAAATTAATAGGATAGAATTTAGAGGTTCTTAGAAAGAGAATGATCAAAAATTAAAAGAATTTCCTATCCTAAGTTTAATAAAGAAAAAAAAAGGTGAAAGCCAGATATTGTTAGGTACGTTATTTGGGATTGAGGTTAAGAAATGGTGTTCATTATATTAGTTGATTTTAGATACATGCACATTAAATTTTTTAATGAGGAAATAAACCCTGGCCAGCTAAGTCTACCCAGTTGAAACCCTTTTATAAAAAAACAAAACACCTGCTTTTCTTTTTTTACTTACATTATTTGCAACAAAAATAAAAAAAATCAACTAAATAGTTATATATAAAATGAATTACATGCAAAAAAACCCCTTAATATATTGAATTAGTAGGTAAAACAACTCACTTTTCTATTGAATTTTAATTTTCAATATTGCTTAATAAATTACAATTATATTTCAGTGAATATTACCAAAGCATTTTATTAGGCATTGACTTATAATGAGATTTTGTCTATAGTCAATAATTTATGATTAATATTTGAAAGCATTTCATTTTGATAATTGTCAGCAAATTAATCAGACTGGGCTGGTTGCTCTGTGTTTTATTTTGAAATTAGTTCAGACTTTAGACTCCAATTCATCTAGGTTATTTAGAAATATAAATTAACTAAAAAAATCTAATATGATTTGGATATAAAATCTGAGCACTATATTTATAATTATTTTAGTACTTATGTATTTAAAAATAAGTGACAACTACCAATGATTAGTATTGCATTATATTGCAAAATGTTGCTTATTTCACACTAATGTATCATGAAATCAAAATTATTATAATTTCTGTAAAATTGTTCTACCTTAGGGATCTATTTTATTCACTCTGCATATTTACTGCATAAAACTTCTTTCAAACTTACAGAAGATAAGGAAAGGGCATGCATGAACAGAAGAAGTTTAAAAATTAAATAAGTCATGTCAATATTGGTTTGCCTTTGGTTCAAAAATAATTGTTATATTTCACTGTACTGTACATTAACTCTTTGTTGACATGAAACATATGTCTGTTATTTCATTGTCCTTTGTATGCTGTAGATTTTTCTCTGTTTATGAGGAAAAAATGAGTTTTTACGTAGGAAAATAGTGAAGGTTTCTTTCAACTGCAAGGAAAAACTGTCTCTTTCATCTAATGCAGTTGATCACGACAGTTCTACCTTTTCCTTGGTTAATTTACACCTTGCTCTGCAATCAGGAATGGGATTGAGAATATCACAAGTGGAATAGTCACTCATCCTGGTACTGTTGGTCTAGAAGCTGCATTTCAAGAGCAAGGTAGTTGTTGTATAAAAGGAAGTTTCTTATTATATCAGGTCACAGATTTGCCTGTTTTAAATAATAGGTGGTCCAGGAAGTGGAAAGGGTACTCAAAGTTTGAAAATCGCAGAACGCTACGGATTCCAATACATTTCAGTGGGAGAATTATTAAGAAAGAAGATCCACAGTGCCAGCAGCAACAGGAAATGGAGTCTTATTGCCAAAATAATTACAACTGGAGAATTGGCCCCACAGGTACTGCTGTGTAATTTGCTTTTTAAAAAAATAATTCTGTACTTTTTATACCAGTTGTGAGTATACTGTTTCACTGTGGTTTTTCATCCTATTTTCTTTATAAAAGGAAACAACAATTACAGAGATAAAACAAAAATTGATGCAGATACCTGATGAAGAGGGCATTGTTATTGATGGATTTCCAAGAGATGTTGCCCAGGCTCTGTCTTTTGAGGACCAAGTAAGAATGTCTTCTTATATTTTAAATGACCTACTTTTTACCGAAAACTTTGAGATTTTTTAAAAAGATTTCTTGGAAGGCTAGCTGTTACTTGGAATGAGTTCTGGTCTGAAAACGGGCAAGCACTTCATTAGGAGGTGGCAGAAGGTCATTTCCTTGGCACACAAGCTTAAAAACTGAAGACAGTCTCTGCCAAAAAGAAAAGACAAAAACTAATAATAGAATTAATTGTTTTTATTAAAAATGCTAATCTCTGTAACCTTTATTTCAAATCCCTATGATTGTATTTTGATCTTCAATTACTAAAAACAAGTCTTATTCAGTACTGCCCAGGTATATAAAACATCACCATTTGCATTGTTACCAATTAAAGAAGCCCCCTTCTTTGGGTTGTGAAATACTAAACTGGTTATCTATAATAAAGTAGCATTCAGGTTACCAAAATTTACTCAAAATGGAGTAGATTATGCCTGCTCTGTACCCAACACATCTATTTTAAAGGGAAATAAATCAATGAAAACATTTTTGCATATAAATTTAATCTTTTTGAAAAACTAGTGTAACTAATTTTTCATTTGAAATATTTAATTACAAAATAATGTATGATTATGAGCATTTTAAGTATGGTATAAAAAGTGAAAGTTCATTAATACCCTTCTTCTATTCCACTGACCTTCCTCTCCTGACAAAAACATTATTACATTTGTTATGTATATTCCAGGCCTTTTTTCTGTATGTTAAACACACACCCACTCAGGCACATGTGTACATATTCACATACAAATGCATTTTTAACCTTCATAATTATTTCAGACTGTCCTGCAAAAAGCCTTTCCAAGTATAGTCCTCTCTACATCGAATGAGAGACTCTGTTGCTCCCAGATATAATTCTTATTATTTTCAACCAGATATAATTCATATTTAAAATTTTTGCTGACCTAATAAAAAATGATATTTCATTTTTCAAATTTACATGTCTTGAGTTACTACTTAGGTTAAGTATATTTTCAGATATTTAGTGCCCGTTTATATTTCCTGTGTGAATTACTGGCTTTTCTTTGCCCATATTTCTACAGACTTATGTCTCTCTCTCTCTTTTTTTTTACTTATTTAAAGAAGTGTTTAACATATTATAGATCTTATATCAGAGAAGATTAAGTCAAATAAAATGTAAGTTTATGTCTCATATGAGAAAAGCGTGGAGTTAGGGAATGTAAGGCCAGAAGATAGCTTCGTAAGGCCTTTCTTTGACTCTTCCACATCACTGTGTTGTGCTCCCGCATCTTTCTCCCCTCTTCAGGTTTCCTCCTCCCACCGTTAGTCCACATCCTCTGGTGCTTACTCAGTTTAAGTGCTTGGCTGTAATTGCTCTGGCCTTGAAGAGAGAAAAACTAGAAACATACATTGTTTTGTTGTTATTACTGCCACATGATACTGCTATTGAAAATGCTAGGCAGCCATTCCCTAGGATTCTTGGCTCCTGGTGGAAGCCTGACAGCCATACGGACAGGCATTCCCACCCAGCCTGGTCCCCACCCTGTGTATTGAATGAGATGCACTTGGCGAGCACAGGCATGAAAAACTATTTGATTGTCTCTGTTGCTTTTCAAACATGCTACACCATGGCTCTCTGTCCTACTCTGGATAGTAACTAAGGGAGACCCATAGCTTTTTCTGGCCGCTTTAAAAATGTTAACAGCTAATCTTATTTACAGGTATTAAAAAGCCCAGTCCCCAATTATGTCGCAATAAAGCGGGGGAGGGGAGAGTTAATTTTTAAAAAAGCTATTTAATCTAAATCAAGACTTTAATGTCTCATCAACTTAATATATGTCTGCTCTCCTCAGGTTGGGCCTGGTTCAGGCTCAGAAACCTCAAGTGTCATCTCAAAATCCTGAAATTCTTCCTCATGTAGCTTATAATGGGGCAGGTAGGAGAAAAGGGGCTGAAAATATGTAACTCTCCAAGAACTCTCTCTGTATGCCTGATCAGTCTCCCCTTTCTCTTATACAGCCAGGACATGGGTAATGGGCCAAGCTTCACAAAACTGGTTTGGGGATCCCTGTTAACAAGATCTATAGGATCATTTGGTATCTCTCTTTAGAATGTGCAGTCACTTGCATGTGCTATTCTCAACTACACTCTGAATCTGGAAAACATCGATTTAACATTTTCATAGGTTTGCATTATGGCAGCCTAGAGGTTCTTGGCTACTGTGGGTAGTACCGTGGTACCTGAGGTCAATGCCTCCATTGCTGACTGCAGTTCAGAGGGTGCGGAGGCAAAGCTGAAGTGTTTATGTAAAGCTAAGTGTTAGGGTCCCGCAGTCCATGTGCAGGTAAGCTCCTGGGTATGTTTTATTTCTGGTACCAGTTCTGACACCAAATGGGTGGGGTATGTCCCACACCAATTCTCCAGCACCAACTAGGTGTCCAAGAATTGACTTCAACTCTGACACTATTCAGAGTTAGCACAGACCTAACAGGTTAATGGCTCAGACCTACAATATGGCCCCCCTTCAGACATCATTTGCAAGTCTCAAAGGCTACCTAAACATCTGCCCAACCAGGTATAAATTCAGGAGTTCCCACAGCACCCTCCTTAGTTTCAATAATTTGGTAGAACAACTTACAGAACTCAGGAAAACACTTATATTTACCAATTTATTATAATGGATACAAGTCAGGAATAGCCCATTCTCATCATACCTTGTCCTCTACAACTCTTCCATTTGTTCCTTATATGATGTACAGGTCAGTTCTCTGTATTTGGTCCCAGTTTAACTCCTCATACTCAGCCACCTGTAAACTAAACATCAACTTGTCCTCCCCTCCTGCCATCAATAAACAGCAAAAGAACAAGACCAGGAGGAGTGAAATAAAGGCACTTGTTGGGAAAAGGGAAGTTTGGCAAGATACAGGGTGGGCAAAAGTAGGTTTACACTTGTAGTACATGAAACAAAGAGTTTATTCCTATGTTATTATATACTAATTATTGTATTATTTTCCATACGAACAGCTGTAAATCTACTTTTTCCCCACCCTGTACATAGGAGTCACTGAACCATAGCAAATAGCAAATGGTGTGAGGCAGGGATTCTAAGGATTCTTGCCTGGGCAGAGGAATGATTTCCTGGGCTAGTCCACTGGCAACTCCTGCTTCTGCTCTCATGGAGTAACTCTTTGTCTGTTGTCTTCTGAGGCCCCCAGCCCTTTGAGAAGCTTTTCCTGTTGTCTGTTGTCCTGCATAGCCCCATCAAAGTTGCGTGTTGGTGATTACATTCCTTGGGAGCTATTTTTAGCTTGAAAAAATACAAGGTTTGATTAGTTGGGAAAAACCATTTCCTCAAAAATATGGTAGACTTGTTCTCTTTTTGTGTCCACTTAGTTCCAATGCCTGTAACCACACCCAAAGTTCTTTCTTGGATTTAAACTACCTTATTTCTTTGTTTTCCTATTTTGATAGTGGTTACCTTGAGGCCATATAAAAAAAAACAGGCTTGGGTAGGAAGATAACATCCATAGTCTGGGCTTTAAATCATCAAAAAAAAAGGGCTGATTCCTACTTTTTTGGGGGGGGGAGTGGAATGGGGGTTTATGGGAGTCTTTTGAGCAATAATATCTTTGTCCCTTTTGTTTGGAGGTATACAAGCACTTTCTTTACTCTTTATCTACTTGCAAATTGGTCAGTTTTTTCTTGGGTTTACCTATAGTAATATGCTGTTAAATGCAACAGAGTGCAATCAACACATACTAACATTCTAGTTCTTTCTAGTCACTTCTTTTCTAGCTATGGGTTCCATAGGAACATCATCTGCCTTCCAAGTTATCACAAATAATAATTGTACTAAATATTTTGCAATGACATAACATGGGTTAGTAACTTTCTAGCCTAAAATATATGTGCCCTTACTGCCCATGCAAATTAATGCCATGTATTTTAGTTTTAGATAGTGTCCCACGTGTAGGAATATTGTTTATGTGTATATATTATTCAGAGTAAGTACAAGATGCTATACTAAAAAGGCAAAATGATATAGTGACATCACACAGGAACTTACGTCCCTTACACATAACAGCCTCACCGTGACTGAGAGCGGGGCAGCTTCAGTCCCCACATTCCTTCAGAAACACCGCAGGTTCTGTCCAAGGCATTGTTCCTCTGATCCCTGGGCAATGGTTCTCAAGTTTTTTGATCATAGACCCCTTTACACTTTTAAAAATTATCAAAGATCTCAAAAAGCTTTCATTTACATGCGCTCTACCTGTTGATATTTACCAGATAGGAAACTGAAACAGAAATTTAAAAATATATAATAATTTGTCTTAATAATAAATCCATATGGGTAACATACATAACACATTTTTATGAAAAGCAACCATATTTTCAAAAAAAACCAACCCAGCAATAGAGAGCACTGCCTTTACATTTTTAAAAACCTCTTTAATTTCTAGAATACTGGAAGAGAGCTGGATTCTTAGTCTGCTTTTGCATTCCAGCTGCTGTGATATCCCTTGGAAACCTTGGAAAACTTCACTGTGTATTTGTGAGAGAATACAGTAAAAAAGACACATAATTTCCTAGAGTTAATGTGAAAATAGCTCTGACCTGTAGCTTTCCTGAAAGGGTCCCAGCAGTCCCCAGGGGTCTCAAGGGCACACGTTGGAAACACTGCCGTGGAACATGGTTAACATCAGTGTGATGGAAGCTGGGTCACTGCCGTGGCCAGGTTCCAGTTTGTCGGAAGGGGAAGAGAATGCAGAAGGTATGTTACCAACCTAGGATCGTCCAGGCCCCTGTTGTGGGGACCCAGGCCCCCAGAAGGACCCTCTGTCCTCCTAACAGGGGTGTCCAGCCTGCTTCCCACAGGCCTCACGCAGCCCAGGATGAGCATGAATGCAGCCCAATACAAAATCATAAATTTATGTAAAACATTATGAGATTTTTTCACGCTTCTGTGTCACAATGTGTTTAACATGTGGCTTAAGACAACTCTTCTT